GGCCTAAATACACTCCTAGTACAATGACCCATAGATAACATAGACTACTGCTCCTGTGCGCTTTTACCTTAGCGATAAATACCTAAATGCCTCCATTATTTTACTGAATGTTATCATTTTGCGATAACGCAAGTGCGCAGTGGCATATCCTTCTGCGCCCAACTGAATGCACTAACTGTACTCCTAGTGGGACCTCGCTCGCTATGCCGCAACAACTGTGTTCTCATCTCACTCCCTTTCACTTCGACATAACTACCGGGTCTGAGGAACGTCGAGAAGATGAACCTTGTTTGGATTTTAAAATTATGATTTGGCTTGAAAAAAATATTATTCGATACCGTTCATCAAAAAATATGTCTGGGGGTATAAATATTGTTCAAGTAAAGAGTCGAAATTAGGTGAATAATTAAGACAAAAACTTTAGTCATAAACCATTATGTTGTCCATCCTCAGCATTTAATTTGCACTTTTCTAACAACTCGTACCGAAGAAAAGGGTGTTTTTAAATGGCGCCCGTTTTAATAAAAGAACCAAATGCGTAAAAGTAATATTATTTGAAGATGATTCATTTTAATCCAGCATAAAACTACACACTCTCCGAAGTTTGGAAAGGACGCGGACAGGCAAAATTCAAATCCACTTTTTTCGCCTGATAATAGAAACAGCTATTCATACGAAGATAAATATCATAAACTATCGCATAGATCGTTATTCTGCCAGCTTCAATTTGAGTCATATTAACACTCTCACGTTTAGTAGTTTCTGAGAAACGGTCAATCAACAAAAAAATATGTATATTCTTGTTTTGTTTTTTTTTGTGGGTTTTTTAAATATATTTTAAGGCTTCAACCACTTGGGTAATCATTGCCTTATTTTCACTGAGAATTAGATTGTATTTCAAGTTTAGAACGTTTCAGAAAATAAAATAATTAATTTCGTTCGCATTGTACTGTAAAATGAAGTGTAGATCGTTTGTCAAGTCACAAGAGAGTCTAAATGTTTCGTGAGCTCTGCTTTCTGTTAAAATATGTTTCTCTGTCAGAGGAGTCCTACAGGTTTGGCATGTTGGCGAAGAATCACTGGCCGTCAGGTATCCATGGGTAAGGCGTGTATGACCTTAAGAATTACTTCCTCTCTGTGGTTTTTCCTATTTGACTATGCCCAAGAGGGAAATTCACCCTTAACCTCCTTCAATTTATTTTCGGTTACATTCAACCATATCTGTTCCCATTTTGTCTTCAATTATTGTTTGGTGACGGTTATAAAATCCTCTACAGGTACTCCCCGATAAGGTATTCCATCATATTCTTGTTTTTAAAACACATAAAACTACCAATTTGATGATTTCATTTTAGCAACTATCATGGAAACATTTATTCCTACGAGTAGTTTATGAAATTTTTTTTTCATTTTAACAGATTTATTATTAGCCAAAATGTTTATTTTAATGGCTGTTTCTCTTGCACTATTGAACGTAATGAGCTCAATCAGAAGGTAAATTGAAGCTGATTAATAATGATCTATACAGAAGAATATAATTATCTCAGTTCGGGGTGCCTGGAAGGAGGTTTTATGCCGCCATCAAATTTTTTAAGAGGGCAATATTTTGATGGGTTTTCGAATTTTCCAGGGGGGCGAAGGAGAAAACGTAGGAAAGAACGCTTCAAGTATAATTGTGTATGATCTACGATTTTTCTAATTCTATTTTTCTTTGCTCTGTTTGTATAAAAAGGTGGGTAATTAAATATATTGGGTTCTTATAAAATAAAAGTTCTTGCGCCATCGATCTTGAGGGGGGGGGGAGGGAATTGCCCCATCCCTGATCTTAGTAAGAATTATCGTTTTCTTGATATGTTCGCTATTTTTCCTATGTAAAATGTTTAAAAAACAAAGTGGATTTTAATTTTGTTTTCTCATACGAGACCCTCTCCCAACTTCAGCAGATTATGTTTCTTTATATTAAGGAGGTTTATGTGTGGTGATAAGGGAAGTAAATCTGTTAATTTTATTTCTTTTTCATTCTTGAATTTTATTCCTCCCTCACCCTTTTCCTCCAAAGATAGAGAAAGAACGGATTTGAGTCCTAGACCTAAAGGATCGGGTGTCCATTGTGAGGTGCCCAGCGAACCGAAGGGAACCTGTCTTCAGTTACAGCTGTTACCGAAATAAGCCCTTCACATCTGTTACTGCCTTAAAGTTCACACCTCTTTAAATAACAGTTATTATATCATTAGTTGACAAACGCTGTCTAGTCTTATTTTATATCAATTAACATAATAGAGACGCTATAAAAATAAATAATTAAATGTATAAAAACTCACTCCATTAACATATTTCTGACCATTGGCAAAAATATTCTAGTTTTGCCGAGCCTTTTAACATCTAACATAGCTGCTTTGATTTTAAATTAGGTTGATTGTTTTGTTTTTTTCTTAATTAATATACAATATATGATTCCATAACGTTTATTAAGTTTTGCATTAAAAAAAAATATATGAATATTTTCAGGCTTTCAGGCTGAAGCCTCCCAAAAATTAAAAATAAATATTTATTTTCATTGGACTAAATAACGTGAATGTTCTCAGCTAAATACTTAAACAATCAGCATATGCTCTAAATTATAATGCATGCAATTATTAAGTAAGCATGATTCGATTATATCGATAGCTATCGATATCGCCTAATATCGTATCGAAAATAAAAAAAATTTAATATTATTACAATATCGAAAGAAAAAAGACAATATTGGATTTGAATAAATTTATTTTATTTTTCACATTATAACTTAAAGCAATGTAAAACATAAAACAGGCGTGTTGACGTATACCAATATTCTTTAAACTATTGAAATACTAACCCATAAATATCTCGATGTGTTACAAAATGGAGTTATAATATTATCAAAGAAAACAGCTCATGTTTATTCCAAGTGTATATTTATAGTCCGTGGTACAGACCCCTTTTCATCAAATTATTAACATACATCTGAAACTTCTTGAATTGCTTCATCTCATCCTAACCTACAACTATTTTATTTTGCGAAAACTCTTGGAATTGGGACGTTTTCAATCTGGAGGTCGGCAAACTTTGTCTATTTAATTGGATACTAAAAACTTGTATATAGTCATTTGCTTTCCACTTGCATCGTAAGATACTTTGATCACAATATCGAGATAAAATGTGGCCTACAAAAATATTGGTTTAGCTTATAAAACCTCGTTATTTTGACATTTTTGGGTACAGATCACGCCTAACGGCTCAATATTTACGAAGTTTTATAGTTATTTACTAAGTTCCAGGCGGATGTTAATAATTTGATAGAAATGGTAGCACGGACTATTAATGTAACGTCAGCTAATTGTAAATGTTAATTTTTAAATTGAGCTGAACTTTTAAGAACGTTTTTGTTAATTTCGACCTAATTTATCGTTAAAGAATAATTTGACTCTAACTTAAAATGACTCTAACCTATATATATATATGAATTATCCATATGTATCAAATATAATTATAACATGCGCGCGATTTTCTGATGTACAAAAAGAAAATTCATCAATCATCTAATCATCAAGGATATGAAAAGTCATTGATGACTTTTTTCATTAAACTGACGCTATATTGGTTAAGTATCTCAAAAATTTCATTTTGATATAGATATCATTCGATATTGACATCAGTTTATTTACTTTCTTTCTCAATAATTACCAATGCTAAAAAAAAAAAAGCCCCTTCAAAAATGAAATCCTGAATTAGCTACTGATTTAAATTTTATCTGAATTAGATACATTTTTTTTTAAGAAGCATTAATTTCTTATCAAACATATTAATATTTAATAAAGACATTTTTTTTTTTTTTTCAATTGGACTATATTTATCGTGAGGTAAGGCTACATTCATACTGTATATACATAGAAATATAAAACAAACAGAAACAAACTCGCGACTAAATAATCATCAAAAAATATATACAATAAAAAAGTTAAATAACGGTTAATAAAATAAAAGATCAATTAAGATAAAAAAAAATGTTTCCACCAATGGACTTCTTAAGTTAACTCAAAATTTGTAAAAAATAAATTTTAATATTAAATTTAAGATGTGTATTGTTTTTTTAAAACTTTCTTATATTTAAGTTATTTATGCTTTTCGATTTTCATTCAATTGTAATTTTTCTTCAGTTTATTTATATTTTTTGTACGTATAGTGTATATGTGGTCTTTACCCCTCATTAATACGTGCTTAAGATTTGTCTTCGGTACATCGAGGCGGTCTCATTTTCTTTTCTTTTCATTTAAATAATGTTTGTTTTATTTTGTTTTTTCTCAAAATGGTGTTATTTTTACTTGTTTTAATATAATTTCACTGAAGATGCTGTGAATATATTCTTCAAAATTGACTAATGTAATTTTTGGCCAGATGTAGTTTTTATTTTTTTTGTTCATATCTGTTATTCATGAGGGACCTCGTCCCAGAATAAAGTTTACTTTCTGTCTCTCTATATCCATTGTCCAAGTGACAGAATGTTATATTGTTTAATGAATAAATATGTTTAAAAATATTAAATTTAAAAGTGTTAAAAATTAATAAAAAAATGCATCTCATCCATGAAGCATATTAGCGATGTTTTGAAACAAGAGTAGGGCTAATTCATGCACCGTCCACCCCAAGAAATCGATGACTGAAGTGGAAGGGTGGGTCATGGTAGGAGGGATGTCAAAGTCAGTAGGAATATTTCAACTGCAGGGGATGTGGTGTGGACAGCTCGGGCAGTCTATCTATGCCCTATATTTTTTATATTCAATATTTGATAGCCATTTTTAGATATTTAAAATAATAACTTAATAAAAAGAAAAAAAAAATATTCGAATCCAGCGAGTTATTTTTACGCAACACACAGAGGATGGCTGTCGATATCAGGACTCGTCCTTTGAATTCGGTACAAGGCCCCGATTGTAAAAGAAGTCCTTTATTTTAGGAATGGATGAGGGAGTAAAGTTGAGTTAGGAAAGTCCTCCGCATACTTGAAGGTACCGGTGATGACAGTGCTTGATGTTTAAGTACCTCCTTTTCGGTGAAGTATGGTGGGTAAGATGAAGCGCTTGGCAGCCCTCTTCGGCTCGAAGTCCAGCCTCGGGACGAACGCTTATCCCAGCAGCCTCACGGTCTGCCAGGATGAGGACATCAGGGAGGAGAAGTCCTTCAAGAGGTCTTGGTCCATGAGGTTCTCCAAGAAGAAGAAAGGTAAGATTGGTCAACTTATCCTTAAACCTATAAGGTACAACAAATATAATAAATTCTCTCATTCCTCTCTGCCAAATGTATTATCTTAAACATTCTCAAAAAATAATATTTCATGATATTCTTTTCCTTTCATTTCCTGAAAAATTAGCGTTTCATCCCTTTAGTCCTATCTTTATAAAATTACTTCCTATTTTGAATTGTAAAAAATATGTTGATTATTGCTTTATAATTAATTTGCAATTTTGAGCTAAAATATATTTTTACTGAGGTATGTATATGTATGAATTCTACTTAATGTTCAATACACATTCATTTGATAACATGATTTTTGAAAACTGATTAATAAAATATATATAACTGATATGTATAATAATTACAATATATGTAATAGAGTGAAAATAAATAAATAAAATTATTATTGAAGGAAGATAGTCGACTATTCCACATGGGTGATAAATATTTATGACGCAGTCTTTTAAAAAAAATTTTTATTTGTACCCAACGTTTCAATCCAAACGTGTATTTCATCTTCAGGGTATGGTTCAAGAACTGAAGGCTTTCAAGTACTGGCTACAATCAAACATTTTTTTTTAAAGTCTGCGTCCTGAATATTTATTACCCATCAAAAATTATTCAATATACAATCATAAGTGATAAAAATAAGACGAAAAAAATATGAATAAATTATTTTTTGCTGTTCACGAATAATGCATGAGGCAATTATGCTTACTAAGATATATTTATTTTTGATTCTTTTTTTTTTTTTTTTTTTTTGTTATATGCTCGAACACGCTTTAAGCTCGATTGATAACATTTATTCCAAGGTTTCAGACTGAGCCAAGGAATCTGCCTCACCCACCATTTCTTGTTTGCATTTTAGCCCTTATCAGATTAAATTGCTTGACTGGAACTGAGACCAAGACTCGTTGCCTCTCTTCCAGGCATGAAAAATAAAGTTATATTAAAGATAAAAACCTCTTTTAAGGAAAAATATATGATTTATGCTTAACGTGACAATAGTGCTTTTTATTTTATTTACCAAAGGTGAAGAATTTCAATAATTATTAAAAAAAAAAAAAAAATGCGGGCACATTTTAGATGTTGGATTACAACGGTTTGTTCCAAATAATATACAAAAATTGTTTAAAAAATGCAATAGGCTGTATCTTGGTTAAAGATTTTAAGTCCTGATTTTTCTGTTTGTGCTTATTTCTTCCACCTGAAGTAAATGATAATCTTCTCCATCATTTTGGTTCAATCATTTAATTAATTTACGAAGATATGGTGTATTGACAAGTGAATTTTAGGAATAATATATTAAATATTAATGCAGGAAAACTAATCAAGTGATTATTAAGCTACTCCTTTATGTATAGCGTCCTATCCCCTTCCTCCACCCGTTCCACCCATGCATTAAATTCGTTCTTGTACTTTTCCAATATATGACTAACGCCTCGAACATGAAAAACTAAATTTTCGCCCTAAATATTCTAGAGATAGGCTCATAAAAATGCATTAGTTGACGCAACATCTTCAATTTCTGCCAGTCCTGACATTTGCCGTTTCCTTTTGTTGCCGAAAATTGCCCCGGATGCGTCATGTGATCCTCCCACCTGCATCACGGCGATGTCGAAAGACCGCAGTTGCTCGGGGTCATGAGCTAGGAAGATTGCTATCACCTGCCATGCCTCTTTGAATTCCAATCGCCGACCTTTCCTTCCACGTCCAAATACCTCGGTAGAGAAGAGAGCCTTTTCGAACAATAGTTGTTTTAAATTTATAAACGAGATCATGTGCGTGCTTATTAATTTCGAAAGGGGCCGGCTTGGTATCGGAATATTTTTGAATATGGAATGCGAAGACTGTCTGAGAGACAAGCGGTCTGGGCAACTTTCACATCGCCCTGTGTATTCAAGTATACAATATATTTATACATACGATAGCCATCTAAATAGGATATTTAAAGTGAATTCTAATAATATTATATGAATTCATAAGTATTTAGTTTTTCTGTTTAGTTGAACGTTGCTGATTGACTTAGGTTATGAGTGTCAGAAACAGCCTGAAATTGAAGAAAAACATGTGGTGTGTCCACTCACACTACTTTCCTACCTATTTCAAAATAGTTTTTGTATCTTTACATATGTTCATGAAGAAACAAAAAAAAAAAAATTGAACTAGATTTATTTTCCTCAAAATTGTTCAAAGAAAAGATTTGAGTACGATTTATTTGATAAATTAAAGCAATGTAAACCGGCTTAAAGTAGATCAGTGTAAAAATTTCAATACTCTCTAATATTGCTGATCAAAAACTTTTTGCCATAGCTTAGTATTGTAAAGCAGAGGAAATAGTGAAGCTTGTGATGCGGGAAACAGATTTTCTTACTTTCACTTAGTAATCTTTTTTCTCTCATTCACCCCTTTCTGACAATAGGATATGAACCCGTAATCGTGCATTGGAAATTGAATACCTGTAACTTCGTTAATAGTTGTCCAAAATGAATGATTTTTATATAGAGAAGAATAATTTGGGTGGTCAATCAAAAAAGAAGGCAAAAATAAATGATAATATTGATTTTTACATATGCCGACGTTTCGACCTGAAGTTCAGGCCATCATCAGGGCTAAGAAAAGAACCAGATAACAAGGCTTGAGTAATATAAGAATTACAGTAAAATGAAGTTGTTAGAATAATGACAATAGTAAGAACAAGAGACAAATAATAATAACAGGTACTAAGTGTGGAATGATGAAGTAAACATAGTCAAAAAAGGTGACATAAGTATTGTAAAGGGAATCTTAGAGTAAAATGTAAAACAGAAAAATATGAAGTTATATAAGAAATGGAAATAAATAGTAAAATTAAGATAGTATATTTAGATAGAAAATTGAGATGTTGTAAAGTCTATCAATATGTACAGACAAAGTATGGAATAATAAAGAGTTAAAACAGAGAAAAGGAATGAAAGGAAGGAGGAGAGAAACTGAGAAGGTTGAAATAAGAAAAAGAGTAAGTAAGAGAAATGGTAACAACCTGACTGCTCCTAAGGTAAAGACTGACCACCCCAACTATTCTTCTCTTCATTATCCACGACAGTCAACCATTTACCAATTGTGAATTTTATATAGTTTTGTAGGGATTTTCATTACGTTTCAACAGTAGTATCTTACAGTACATTTCTGTCACAGGTATCAGTAGTCAAAAATCTACAAAATAAAAAAAGACGTAACAAAATCGATTCAGTAGTACCCGAGAAAATCTTGGCACAGAGATACCAATGGCTAAAAATGTGTTTTTCGGACTCAAGGTGCTATGAAACGTATAGATCCGTCGAAAACCGCATATCGGAAATTTGATCCGATTGCAATACTTTCCTTACCTAGTATAGGTAGGAAAGTAACAAAACAAAAAGCAGTATTAAATACATTTTGTATTCCACTTGATCTCATTACCGTGTCAAAGTTATAAGAATCTGCGTTGCTGATATTAGCCATTGCGAAATCACTCTGAGTGCTGAAACCTGAGAGTATGATGCGAAAACGCAAGCTCACCGCTGAGTGGCGATGGTCGCTTGGAATGTAAGCACACTATCACGACTCGTGTAAAGGTTACGTGAGACTTTTTTAGAAAGGTGCTTCGTAGACGTCCTTGAGTGTAGTAGCCTCTTAGTTTTTTTATCATTCCACTTGTTTCTCGTTGGAATCACTTGTTTGATTCAAGGATCATAGCTTTATCTTTCCGTAGGCTATCCAATGTTCTAATAACAATTTAAAACCTAGTTAATCTAGCTTTATTTCTGAGTGTCCTTTGGCTAAAGAGCTCTCGATCAATCTCCACTGCCTTTAGTACTAGTGACACGGTTGAGGGAGTAGCGCAGGGATCTCCTGGAGTCCTTTCCTTCCATAGTTGGAGGCTGCCTCAGAGTTCTCTCGCCTGATTGTAAATAGTGTATATATGTATATCTGTGTTGTTGTTTTTTTACTTTACTTATCTTTATGATATTTACATCATTTTTAAAGAAATACATTAAGTAAATTTGAACATATGGATATAATAACATGAAAACACTTGTTGAGTTACTACCCAATGGTAGCACTCTAATGAAATGTTTACATTAGGAGATCACGGGGCCATCTTCTTTTCAGACGCCTCGGAGGGTTATCAGGAATTAAAGAGGAAGCAAAGTTAGAAACGAGACGGTTGGGATGATTCTGAAGTTTATTATTGGAAGGATAGGTATCTGGATTGAGCCAGATCTGAAACATAAGGAACATTAAGGTCATTATGGATGGTTTTATTTGTAGCCAAGTAGGGAGCATTGAGAATTTTACGAAGGATTTTGGATTCTAAGGATTGGTTACTCGAGGAATTTGAAGGTTTAGTAATTCAAAACTTATTTTTTTATGTTTGTTTTTTTTTTGAGTGACGACATTTTTTTCAATATATCGATTGAATATTATAATACATTTGAAACTATCAATACTATTTATATCGATATATTTTTTATTTTATTGACATTTCTGAGGTAAAGCTTCGCACTTTACTATCCAGATCCAATCCAATCCAAGAAAAGACTAGAATATTCCTTTTTATATCTACTTATGTGCTATCAAAGCATTGGCTTCTATAGCATCCCTACTTAAGACAATGAGCCATCAGGAGTCAAAGACGGTCAGTGACCACTCCTGTTCGGTCCATTGTTCTTCCTGATCTACTTCTGGATCAATCTTCGACTAGGTCGAATGGCACGTGGCTTGCAGGATACCCATTGCTTGTTAAGATACGCAGAAGAAATGTAACTAGAGGAATTTGATGGTTTAGTGGAGCCCAATTGCTCAACTCCGTAAGTCCAAATAGGCCTTATTATAGTCATGTATATGAGTCTTTTGTAATTAATTGGAAGTTTAGAGCGTTTGTCTAGTAACTGCTGCAGTAATCGGAAATTTCGAGCGGTTTTCAATCTGTCGTTTCAGTCTGGTATGAGTTTATTGAATATATATTCAAGTTATTATATAGTAGTTACTTTGCTTCTTTTTATTATCTTACCTCAATATAACCATTGTCCATGTAACAGAATGTTATATTATTCAATAAATAAATAAAATAATTTCTATTTTATTCACTCATTAAGAAATTCATCCCAGTTTTTACATCCCCTCTTGTAAAACTGCTTCGTTAAGAAAGTCCTCATTATTCGTGGTTTCTCTTTCATCTACACTTTTCTTCAAACGGCATATTTTTCTTTCACCTGGTTCGTAATCAACCTACCATACATATTTTTTATTATTCCATACTGCTTAAAGTTCGCCATGACTCGTCTCTATTAAGTATTTATTTAAACTTTTTATATAACAGATGTCAATCATTATTTTTTTTTTTCATATTGGTTTTGGAATTCTACGTATCTTGAGACATGTATTTTCGAAATTGTTTACGTGTTATAGCAACTTTCTTTCGTGCTTTATTTATTGCGTGGCATTTTATCAATTGATTTTTTCTAACAATAGGTTCTGTATGAAATATATTTTTTTAATATTATCTTTTTTATTTTACTTAATTACGGTTTTTCTGCAATAAACGCTTCGATTATTATGAGATAATTGGAACACACACACATGTATATATTTTCTTATTCTCCATTTTATTTTTCAACTACTACAATATAATTATATGTAATATATACATATATATTTTGCTTCGTCCTTACACTGCCTCATGTCATTCCAAGGAAACCATGGCACTTAATATACATAATATTGATGAACATATTAAATCGAGTGAGAAGTTCTCAAAATTAAATTATGATTGCCTATAGAAGTTAAAATACCATTTCAAATTCATGTTTGAGAAATTTCCATATTTTAAAAATTAATTTACATAACGATGTTGGTTAAAAACAATAGCGTATATTAAATAATAAGCTTTTAAACGTCATTACATCATGTATTATAATTACAGTTCTTTACATTATGCATTGTCTTTTTTATTGCAAATTTTATTACGGATCCTGTTCTAGAATCTATTGTTTTCCGACTTGCCAAGGTTAATGTTAATTTATTATGATCTCAAAGTCCTCGTAAAATTCTTAATTCAAAAGAAGGAAAGAATGCACATAACTGGGAATATAAAAACTGTTTTTTTTTTTTTTTTTTCATATCCCCTTTTTAATTATTTTTCACTTGGATCCTTTTCATTGTTTTCATAGTAGTCCTTTTACTGCTTAAAAGCATTGTAAGGTGTATTTTTTGATTTTTTTTCGTTTATGAGTACTTTGTTCTTAATCTGTAATATAACAGGTGATGGGGCTCACCTCAGGCTTGAGTTGACCTTATACTCTAGAGCTTACAATTAAATTAATAAAAACATATATCTCATGTGATTTGTTGCCAACATTTTGGAATTTGGGCTGGTAATAATTTGTTGAAAAGAGGGTTTGCCGATTGTTGGGATTTTTCGAAAAATGATTTTTTTCGTTTTGCCAGAAATTCGTTTAAAGTTGATAAATTTAGTGTTGCTTGAATATCCAATGTCTTCTTTCTCTTCAGAGTGGTTCCTCTTACAATTTTTCTAATTATTCCATTTTGGAAATATTGTAATCTTTTCTCAGTTGTTTTGCTGATGTGTTCGAACAGAGGTGCACCATACAACAGAGCCGGCTGTATTATACTTGTATAGATGAGAAGCTTTAGGCGTAAATATAGGTTTGTTGTCCGAATTAAATTAAAAAACTGTTATCAATTTCACTTTCAATTATTGTGGAAGTTAACTTAAGTTTTATCGACTAAGGAGATG